ATATATGTATATATATATATATGTATATATATATTATCTTAGTCACGTACCACGTTTACTCCACAACGCTCCACCAATTTCCTCGCAGTTGTGAGCTCGTCACTAGATACGACGAAAAACTTTAAAGTGCCACAGAACATCGCAATTCCCAGCTTGTAAAGTATCTCGTCTGAAAGCATGCACGTACGTATATGCGGTAGGACCGATATTGCCCAGGTGGTTTCATCACTTAATCACAATCTATCTACTAATTAGTTGTATGATTATGAAGGTAATATCTCATTTTAATTAACAAAATATCTGCAATATATTGCATTTTAATAACAAATTTTTGGGCGGCATTTCTCAAATTATCTGTTGCTGACCTATAGGAATCCTTAGCTTGGCATGACCGCGAAAATGATTTATCAATGTAGTGTAAAGACAATAACCCACTTACAGAGGATCCAGGAATCGCAGACGTCAGGACTGCCCCTAGCGAGTAAACTGCCAACATCGTGATCACGTACTCTGGGCAGTTAGAACTGCACACAAACACGACGTCACCTTTCCTGAGGCCGCGCCGGGCCAGACCGCTAGCTACTCTTCTTACAGACTCCCGCAGCTCTCTGTACGACAACCTCCACTCCTTGCTAGCATCAGGTGGTCCAACACTGCGCCCGATCTGGGAATGTCACAATATAGCGAATATAACGGTGAAACACAGGCCACAAGATTGTAGCGTTTGACATTTTTACGTTTTGAATTTCTGGGGTTTGCTTGGATTGCTGGATAGCGTGTTTGCTAGATGGATATGAAAAAGATAAAACAAAAAGTACCTGTATGTAATAAACAAAAAAATGGAAAAAGGAAAACATGAATGAAAGGCAGATGTAGAATGTAGGCTGTGATAGCTAAGATTTTGGAAAATTTAAGGAGAGTACCGATAGACGCACTTGAAGAACAGCACACAGCGACATGTAACATAATGGTAAAAATAACAATTAACTACTGTATTTAGAAAATTAGAGAAATTCTTGCCAATTCTTCTCTTATCCGCCATTCTGTTACCCATTATTGCATATTCCACCATGCACGCGTATACCTGACTTACGCGTGGACACTCGCCCACGACTAATGTCAAAACGTAATTGTAAGACCTACCACAGCTATGGAGTCCTGTGGCTTGTTCAACCAGGAATGTTGCTCAAGGAAATCATTCACCGACATTTCTGGCACATCGACATCTGGGAACTGGCTCTTTAGTATACGTCCTTCTCGTCTCTCCATCACTATAGCTGTTTTATGTTCTGTATAGTGACCCTTAAATATAAGATATTTGCATACTCTAA